AAAAAATATTTTATTCCAGTCCAAATCAGCTCAATTACTTTAATAAAGTGTTATTGTATAATGTACAAAATGTTGATAAAATTTGATGAATATTTACAGCTAAGGCTTCAATACCGTAGACGATTTTGGCCCGATCGTCAACAAAACATCACCCGTCTCCAGGGCAGGTGACTGGAAAAAGACACTGGTGTTCGGTCGAACCGGTGGAAACAAAATCATCACTCCCAGAATAACTATGCAAAATAACGATCTAAAGTCGAACCATTCGAGCCACAATATTAACATAAAAATGACTTTCGTTGCATTTGACAATGATAAACTTACCGAAAAGCCGTGTTTTTCTCGGTCGGTATAATCTGCCCGGTGACGTCATCATGTGCGCTATAGAAGGAAGTCTGTGATTTGTTGACTAAAATCGTCGATAGTGGGTCTCGTTGAAATCTCGTTACATAGGCATCGGTTCAGATGTAGGTAGGGCGGAATTAAAAAAAATCACAAAATCAAAATCAAAGTAAAATAATAAAATAAAAGGGCATTAATAACAAAAGTAATAAAAAATAAAATTAAAATAAGTTTATAGCCAAAATAATTAAAGCCCGTACACTACATCAGATTTTAATCAGATTGGGACGGGGGGTTCAAGTTATTTGCCTTGTGTGTGTGAATACTGAGTATGTTTATTCCAAGTCCAGTGATGCAGTATATTATTACTTTTCCCTAGGGACGATAAGCAATATTTTTGGGGGCTTAATGGTTGAAAAGTTGTGTTGTAATCGGATTAAAAATCAGATTAGGGAGCGAGCATGGACGGAATTGAGCATTATACTAATATTAATGATATCAGTTATTGATGTGCTCTGTTAGAAGGGCATATAAACCAACATATTAGCATTAGTTGTACTGGTAAACTAAATCATTGAATTATTACTTATTTTGGCCAGAGAAATTGCTCTGTAATTTACTAAGCACACAGGCTACTTATAGAACAAATACAGTATTTGTGGTCCCTATAATATGTCTTGGTTTGCTGGAAACAGACGTGAAGAATCAGCCAGTTTATATATTTTATTTAGGGAATTTGGTCATTTTAGTGTAGTTGGATCATCAAGTTGGTTTGGGTTCTTTGAGGGTGAGGGATGTAGGTCGTCTCAGGGGTGGTGCAAATATTACAAGCAGAAAAGGTTAAATATCTCTGTAACTTAAAGGCCCATTGATGCTGAAGTTCATCTTGATTCCTAAGTGTTCAATGTAATCTAAATTGGCTTTAGACTCAACTATTTACCCTCAATGGAAATGAAAACAGAAAGTCAATCTACCATACTTTTAATACGCAGGTGATTTTTCAATTTAGTCTGATACAAAATGTGATGTATGTAAAGGAATATACAGTGTGCTGGTGTTTGGTATACAACCTTCTCAACTAAGGGTATTTGTTAACCAATTAGAGTGTGGTCCGCAACTTTATATTAAATAATGAGACAGATAGGACGAGGATTTTCAGTATGAATTCAATACTTCTAGGAAATTGTGAGAAATATTATTGTAGTCAAAGCCATGAACAATTTATAATGATTATCCTCAAAGCTTAGCAGTTTAGTATTTTTTACTCGTATGAAAAAAAATATTGTAATATTTACACCTTTAAACAACCTTTAAACAACTTTGGAATTGTATTAAAACTTCCAAAAATATTGTAAACCGCTTTAATTTTGTGAGATAAATTGTCATGAGTTCATTGGAATCATGAACTTTTGTAGCTGTGCAACTTTCACAAAATGTTGTCCTCCTAAATCAGCAAATTAAAAAAAATATACTAACAGTAAATATGGTTTTTACGGTATTTCCTTGTATTGGCATAGTGCAACCCAAAACTTTACCAAAATGCCTGGAAAAGAAAAAAAGTATTATCATTCTTTCCCACTGATAACATTTTCATTGGTTTTTTTTGAAGATTATGCAGATTTGGATTGGATTTGAATATCAAAATCGAATGATTGTCTGTAGATCTGGTAATATGACCGTCTTTGACAACAGCTTTATCTCAATTTCTGTATTGATCCTGTATTTAGGTGGATTCCTTTCTATGAAACCAAATGTACATTTTATCCATTTTGCATTCAGGAAATATTAACACGACTGTCAAAGAATATTTCATTGTTTTGTTTTTTTGTGGCCACCCTACCTCATAACTGTCATGCAAGTAATTGCTTCATTTCAACGTATTTTACTAAATGTTTATTGTTCTTACTATTTTGAGTTAGTTATTCAATGAAATCACGAAATAATGATTGTTGGGTAAATGTGCAACACGCGTTTCAATGTAGCTAATATTTGAATAAAAATATTTGGTCATTTATTAAGGGGGGAGGGGGAGGGCTATTTTGTGTATTTTACTGTACACAGCATTGTCAGTAGCTTTGCTGACTATTTTTCTTTTGCAATTTTTGCCTTTAGCTTATGTTGTAAACTAAACATATCAGCGACATAACTGGGAGCAATCCCGGTAGTAAATTGACAGTCCTTTGTCTTTGTATAAATTTATATTGTGTTTTACTATTTAAAAGGAAAAAAAAAATCTGTAATTGAAAAAAACAAAGGGATCATAGGTGCCCATCTTAAATTATTGTTTAACTGTGATAAAACCAGGACAGAGTGAGCTTCAGAGAAATATTGGAATGTGATATTAATATTTTGTTGGCTGGAATTTTAAATATGTAATTTGATGATGCATATTTAAACAAGTAAGACAAATTAAATAGGCACTATAGGAACACAACTATTTAGTCTTAAGCAACGGAATATTATTATCATGAGGTTTCTACTAATAGACCTATATATATATTCTGGCAAATAATCTCCTTTCCCCAGAAAATAATAAACAAGAGCTTCAAACTGTGATAACTGTCATTTCCAGGCTTTTTAAAAATTGTATGAAACCTGCTGAATTTCATATATAAATAAACCACTTTTATTGAATGCTTAGAATACTTTTTATTCTGATCTCTATCGTGAGGCAACTTGAACATGATGAAAAGAAGACTATGTTATCCACTCAGTAATTGTGTAATTATCCCAGAATTTGTGCTTTTTAGATCTGAAGCCAACAGAAGTTATTTTATTCTTGATTTATTTTTGTTCCATTTGTAAATGCATATATATATATATATGAAGTATATTGTGCGATGACCATTTGTTATATAGTCTCCTAACATGCTTCCCTCTGTAAATTGAATATCGTTCGGTTGGAGCTAGCTGTCGCGATGTGACATATCCTTTGTAAATACGTGATTGTGTGGAACGTCTACTTACTCAGTAAAATTATACATGATATGCAACGTAAATGGTTGACCCTGAAAAATTTACTGGTTATTAATAGAGGTGAAATCTGTATTATCGTGGTCTAAAATCCCAACGTGTTGATTTTCTTAAAATGTTTTCCCATGAAAAGCTTTGTGTGAATCAGGGACGTGTACCACAGTATGATCAGTTCAATTGTTATGTAACATGTCATGCTCAAACTTTTCTAGTAATAAATATATGATAATAATTCCATTGATTGTTGTTTTGGACTGATTTTTAGTCCCTGTTCATGTGTATATCTAAACACTGAGACGTGCATTTGCCAACCGCATTCAAATTTTTTACACATGTCATATTGATATGGCTGACAAACAGCCATTTAAAAAAATACTCAAATCTAGTACATAATTCTAAATTATTCATATGGCTTAAAAGTGTTCGTTTGTGAAAATGCACCCGAATCAAGCAAATTCTTAAAACTGCACAACCAAATCTTGGAAATGCATATAGAGGATAAATAGATTGATTTTGGTCACACTTTGTACACAAGACATTATGGTACCCTGAAGACCTCCATGGATAGCCGATATGAATGGCATAAACAGCTGAAGTGTTAATCTTGTTTTATGTGTCTGAATCAAAATTCTAGGGACTACTGGGGGGGGGGGTAGCTATTCTACAGCCATATATCTGACATAATCAAGCACTTTTGAAGAAACAAAAAATTGCCAAATTAGCTCATTAATAGAAACTTACATTTGTAAGTAAAGGATAGAAGTACTGAGGTCTGTTCCGATGTAGAAATAAATAAAGCTCTGAATTTGTCAATCCTCGACGTGTCCGGGCCACAGGCGCTCGGCATGTTTCTGTGATAATAAAAGAAATACACAATAGGGGTCGAGAGATCGCCCGGCCCTGTCTCTCGACCCCTATTGTATATTTTTTTTATTATCACAGAAACATACCGAGGTCCGGGCCGGGTGATTTTTCCCGTGTTAGGTCAAATCATGGACGTACCAGAGTGGTCAAATTAAGTTCAAAGTTCACGCTTAAACAGCTGATCGTAATGATACTACGATTCAATGCAACGTAGGGATTAATTTAAGCCCGGGTTTCTCGTACACGTCTACCTGTGGGCTGTTCGTTACATCGACAGATTAGTGTGCATAATTATATCGTCTTTGTCTTAGCTGAACTGGGTGATTGCCGTCAGGAAAATGGGTGTTATCAACAAAGTAGCATTGATCACGGGAGCTGCCGACGGTATTGGGAAGGCTTTAGCAACGCGGCTTCTTGAAAAGGGTGCTAAGGTATTTACAATAATAACCTGGGTCAAGTTGTTGATATAAATAGAATACTATTGTCAATTTCCTTAACAGTTACAATGCAAATTTCATAGTTACCGCATGGGGAGTTATTATATTCATTCATGCGCATCTGCTTGTCAGTAATCTGGGGCAGGACCTATGCCAAGGCTCAAATGTCTGCCCTTTTTTTTATTCGGGAAGCCCTACAAAAATGACCCACGGTCAATCTCACTTTAATCACGGAGTTTTGAACACATTCGAGTTGTCAGCTGAATACCACGGATGAATGGGATAAAACGGCGTCAGGAGCCGATGTGTTGTGAGTGAACTTCTTAATAAGAATGATGACGCCAACAGAAGTGAAACGTTAAGAATGATGACGTCAGAAGCGCTATTATGTCTATAACAGGGAGAATAACGGCTATATATGCCTTAGCTTCGTTTTTTTTTAAGTTTCAAGAAATTATTTTTTATAATTGTGCCTCAATTTTTAGTTAGGCTACAAACACATTTCCTTTATTCCTCAGCTCCTGAGAGCGAGGTTATTTGTAGATATGTTGGCGATCGCCTCTATGTCTGTGGAAGTACTATGGGAGATTGCATGATGGGAGTGAAAATTCTTTTGATCAATAAAATAATTTTAGAAAAGTGAAAACTAGAGTGACTGTGAAATAAAGGTTGGTTTTAAATGTTAAATGTCATGGAGTCTGGATGAAACTGAATAATGAAAGGAAATTGAACTGGTATGAAAGGGAGGTAAATGTAGCTAGAATGCAAGGTCAAATTCCGGGGGTCAAAATACGTCACAATGCATCCATCATTGCGGCTGCAAAGTGACAACAACTAGGGATGCAGTAACAAACTTGATTTGCAGTTTGTGTGAATGGCCGAGAAAAAAACATGCAAATTCTGTGCTTCAGTAACAGTATTTGCTGCTTTTTGTGCAATGAAAATTAATACAAGAAATGCTGCCAAAAAACATTTCCTTCTTGTAAACAAAACGTTTATCTTGTAAATGTTATGGTTCTGTTACAACAAATCTCAGAAGTATTGGGGCAGCCAATTTGCAAACTCGCTAGCCAATTGGCTAACTGCTTGGGTTTTGTCTAAACAGTTGGCTTTCGAATCTCGCTGGCGCCGATTTGTGGTCGCGTCTACTCGGGGCGAGTCCATATTGCTTAGGTGATATAAAATGCTTTTACGCGGCTTGATACATGTTTGGATTCCCCTGAATGATTTGCTTTGTTATTCGAGGAATGACAATGTAAAACTAGTACGAGTAATTTACAATTTATATGCGGGTAGCCGGCTTGAAATTAAATAAAGAGACAAGATGAGAAACAGTTTCCTACAAAGAAGGAGAAAATCAATTTTCACATCCAACCGCTAATAATATTCGACCTCATTCGTCGTTTTGGAGGTAGCCATCAGGACATCGATTACGAACAGAGAGTTACGAAAACATTGAGCTACAGAAATGACCACGCTCATATTTTTGAAACCACGCCCACTTTTGTGAAACCACGTCCAAATTGTAACTCGATGTTCAAGCGTGACAGTCGTCGTGTTTCGTCCTGTTCGATATGGGACTCATAGCCCCGTATACAACGCGTGTAAAATACGACCACCGCGCTTTCAATTAACAGTTAACAGAACTTCGAGTTACGGGCACCATACATTTCGAACTTTAAATAACAGTTAATCAAAATTCGAGTAACGGGCAACATATATTTTTTGTTTTGCTTAACTTTCTGATTTTTTAACTCGAATTTTAATTAACGGTAAGCAACGTAGATTGTAGTTATTGTTAATCCAGATACTGTCTTTCATTTTTTACCATGCAATGAGCTTGCTTGTTTCAACTTTTGGGCTTAGTCACCTCATGGAGGTAAAAATACCTCCATGGTCACCTGTACTTCTTCACAACTTCACAGACCGCATACAGAGACCAGCGTCATTCCATATTTTCATCATTTCAGACTCTCCCTCTGTTTATTCAAGTTATATAACGATTCATTGTAAATTCAAAAACCCACGAATGTCTTCCGTGTCACTAGTTCAACGTGTGAAATCAGGCAAACATATTTTCAAATCTTCACATTACTCGATTTTGGCGCGTTTGGTTGCAATAATAACAGTAACATTGTTGCGACATTATAGACGCGCACATTAGTTACCAACTCGAATTTGAATAACTGCTAATTAAAGTTACAAAATTTAAAAGTTACTGAATGTGGACGTGCAACACAAACCCAAATGTATGTTGCCCGTAACTCTTAGTTCTGTTAACTGTTAATAATGATTAAATATCGAGTTACAATTTGGGCGTGGTTTCAAAAATATGGGCGTGGTCATTTCTGTAACACGATGTTTTCGTAACTCGATGTCCGTAACTCGAACAATTCAGCATCTCAAGCAGTTTGCCAATTCGCTAGTGAGTTTGCAAATTGGCTGTCCAAACAAATACTTCTGAGACTTGTAATAATTTTCTAGAAACTGCACAGCAAATCACAGATTTTCATTATTTATTGTCCATAGTTTTTCTAAATTTCAGGTTTTATTGTTCATAATTATTTACAGTAATAAAACACTTTTCCGTTTTGAAACCATTTCCAGTTAGTATGATTGTGTACATGCCCCCCCCCCCCATACACACAATAAGACAGGGTGATATGTACGGATATGCGCGAGTATGTTTCATGGGATAATAGGCCACTCCCTTGCTTCAATTCCAACTATATCTCTAGAAATATCACTTGCCGTTTATCATCCATATTTCGATATCAATGTGTCGATTGCGTGCCTGGTAATTCTAACTAACTACTTTTTTTGCAAAATTTGCCCAGCCTTGCTTCTACCAGTCGTTTAAGTGAACTCCACATTGTCCTTAACAGTGAATGGTAATGCAGATATATTGTAAATTACACAGAGGTGACACTAGAATACATATCCCTTTACAGCCCTTATATTACATAACAGTCTTTGAGCTGAGGCAGTTGTGGTTCTACAACCATCACCAGTTCTCTTGTTATATATTTATAATAAATATCAGTGGTAGTTCATGGTGTTAGTACGTCTACGGTCAAATACAACCAGCCAATCAATGAGTGCAATGCGCATTGACGTCATTGGAAAATGGAAACCTGTTTGTTTCATTTTGAAGCAAAAATCCAGGCGATGTTGTGATTTAACCCTTTACCAATATTTGTTTAATACGTCTAATTCTTATATTGTTTACATTCAAGGCTGTCAGTATTCTTGACGTCAAGGATGAGAAGGCACAAGAATCAGTGACGTCATTAAACAGCGTGTTTGGCGGGGAAAAGGTTATCTATATACACTGTGACGTGTCCAACAATGAACATATGAAAGGTACTGAAACAATACTAAAATGAGATCTTAATTTGGAGATTTTTATTTAATTATTGTGAATAAAGCTTAAAGTAGCAGCAATTACTTAGCTGTAAATAAATAAATGATGAATTAAAATAAAATAAAATAAAACATTAAAAACTAAGAAATAAATAAATGCTTAGTTAAATTTCCAAAGGTTTTACCAAGTCAAACAGTATACTACAAATGAATACATTTTGGAACAAACAATTAAGTCCCATTAAAGTAATGTTTCACCATGATCGCAATATCACTCAATCTATGCAATTATTTCTGCGTGCGTGCCATTTATAGAATGAATTACTTACATGATCGTTAAAATGACATCATGCCGATCATTCCAATCATTCACTTTTAATTCGTATACTGTTTGGTTTATTACAGCGGCTTTTACAAAAACAAAGGAGCTATTTGGCGGACTGGATATTGTCTGCAACAATGCTGGGATTATTGACGAATTTAACTGGGAGCGTTGTGTTGACATTAATTTAGTAAGCTCAGGACAACTCGTTACTTTCGTTGCAATGTGTACTAACCGTTGATATTACATATATCAGGCGATATATTGACAATATTATTATTATTATTATTATTATTGCGTATCAATTTATAAAATAACGTACGAAGTTCTCAAACACAAACTTAGAGCGCCCTCGATTAGGTCATTGCCACGGTTTTAGCTCAGCGACGCTTAGACCAGAAGTTCTACGACGAATTATAGTTTCTCGCGTGGAAATGTACAAGGAATTTCGCAGTCACAATATTATAAAGTATTTTATATTAGAATAACTTACCAACGGATCAATTTATTAAACCTTGGAGCCTCTGGGAATAGAAGTACGTATTATCGAAATGAAGTGAAAGCAATAACATTTCCACTACACATTGGTCACGGTTTTAAGCGTTTGAGTACGGGGAAAATCTGATTGTAGTATGTTTGCCAAACACATTTTTACAACCTCAATTAAAACCCAACGAGCAATTTTATTTCTCAATGATATGTTCCTTGCAGAAAGGCGTTATTAGAGGCACATATCTCGGTGTCGAGTTTATGGGTACAAAGAATGGCGGCAATGGTGGAGTGGTTATTAATACATCCTCAACAAATGGCAAGTGTGACGAAATACGGGTGATGTATTCATGTGTATACTACACGCCTTCAAATAACACCTGATGTTATTACTATCATGGATGTAGTTATTCAATTCTTGTAAATAAGTAAAACAAGGGATTTCCGATACTAACGTATAAGGGAGTACTAACAACTCCAATAACGGGAAGAATATTTTCCGTATTTGTCATCTTTCTGTCCTACATTTTAGGTTTTCTACCGAACCCATTATTTCCCGTATACGATGCTACGAAACATGGTATCATTGGTTTCACGCGGAGTGCGGCGGTAAGGACGATCCCTCTGTTGCGCCCCCCTCTCTCTCTCTCTCTCTCTCTCTCTCTCTCTCTCTCTCCCGCCTTGTGTTTTCTTCATAGTTTTTGAAGTTGAAGCTCATAGTTTCTGGTTGAAATTCTCTAACGTTCGGCAGAATGCCACTTATTTACAACAATTAAATTCGCGGTATTTTTAAATCGATAAGTAACGTAAAAACAGAATATGTTAAGCTCATACAGACGTGAGTAATTTTAAAAGTTGATTTTATGTAACTCGTTTTAGGCTGAATTGATGGTGAAAGAGAACAATGTAAGGGTGAATGCACTGTGTCCAGCATTGGTGGATACACCGATGAGGGATGACATGACTAAAGGCAGTCGTTACGGTGACCAATACGCACAGAGGATCGCATCTGTTAGACAAGTAAAGTACGTATGTATGTGTAGTACCGTATCAGCGACAAGCACGATTAACTGAAAGTACCCATGATAGACTGAAAGGCGTGATATATGCAAATAAGACAAAATGGCATATTTATACCCTCATTTTTATTATTGAGTGCAATATATATTCTATGTATGCTAGAAGTTAAAGCGGAGGAGTCGTCGCCTGCGCATGCGTCAGATGGCCATAGCGTGTCATTGCGTTGTGTCGTCACAGGAAGCGCTGTCCTGCAGCGTCAATGGTGTCATTGTTTACTAACAAGCGTCTACCCACTAGCCTTTGCGTTTTTAGCGTGTGTTATCGTCGCTTGGGACTCAATTCCCGCGCGTGCGCAGGTGACGATCCTCTCGCTTTAAATTACTTTTAATTTATTACAAACTCGTAATCAACCTACATTCTTTTTGCGGTGACATCTGGAGGTTGGTTGAATATGAATTGGAAATGCTTGCAAGCTGCGATTTTAGCCTCATATTTGTTAGCATGAACACACACGCCACCGCAACTTATTCGCGTTGTTTGTAAATGATTCACGATGTCGGCAAATGCACGTAAAAGTAACTAGAAAATAATCTGATAGGTCACGTATACGTGTTCTGCAGTGACGTTATTATTCGGCCTGAATGTATGACGTCACTACAGTAGTATGGTAATTGTACAATCATAATCGTACACACCGTGACTACATTCTTGTTCCACTGTATTTCAGGATGTCTTTGCTCATCGACACTGCTATGAAGTTAATAGAAGACTCTGGATACAATGGTACTACATGTGCAGTTGTCCCTGACGACCCGATGCTTGTACTTGAGCCGCCAGTTATCAATATTAAATAGAATTCTCGTAAATTAATAAAATAACAGAACAGGACATAAATACGCACAGTTTAGTTTGTTAATTAACTACAGGCAGACAGTATGGAGCATTGACTCGCTACCTAGCGATACCATTTTCTTAACATCGCAACGGACAGTTTTACAATTTGTTCATGTTCAAGTGAGACCACTTATTTGACAGCGAAGACAACTTTGCAACTGTTTGAAGTACTATGATTATTTTCTCAACCTCGACAACTTGACCGTGTTCTAAACCACTTCCCATACGCAGTAGTCAACTTAGCAACCACCTGAAGTACTGTGATTACTTGTGATTACTCTCGACCATGACAACTTGTTTGTGATCCAGTAAGACCACTTCCCTGACATCTTTGGCAACTTTGCCATTGCTTGATTCCTAGGATTAATTTCTCGACCTTGACAACTTCATGACCATGTTCTAATGAGACCACTTGCCTGACATTACAGCCATATTTGCAACTTCAAGCACTGTGTTCACTGTTGGCCGTGATCTAATGAAACCACTTCCTGATTACTTACTGTGACCACTTTTCCGATTACGGCAACTTGGCCGTGGTCGTGATCACTTCCCTGTAACCGTAGGCAATTTTGTAACCATCTGAAGTACTGTGATTTGATTTTCGACCACGACAACTTCATCATGATCGCGACCTAATAGTGAGACCACTTCCTTGACATCGCGGAGAACTTTGCCACTGCTTCAAGTACTTGGATTACTTTCTCGACCATGACAACTTGACCGTGTTCAAATAAGACCACTTATCTGACATCGCAGGCACCTTTGAAACTGCTTGATCGTAATTTAATGAAACTTTTTTCTGGAATGAACAAATCAGATGTAAAAGTCAGTCGACATTTAAGAATGAGTATGAATAAAAATAACCTAAAATACATGAATCTCAATGACACAAGTTGGTATGCATTCAAGGTAAGCCACGCGTACCAATAATCCCAAACACTTTTCGCTGTGAGCAGATTTGTTACTTTCGTGAAATGTGTACGCTTTTTTTTCTCTGTACATCTTTCTGTTCCAGTGTTATATAATTCTGTTACATTCAGTTACCAAACTCTTGATACAAATGTATGTTGTTTGCACAGCTTGACAAAACTCAGACATGATACTGGTAGCCTAGACTAGGTCCGTGGTTTAGGGCCTCTCCTGCCTACAAACACACTGAAGGTAATTGATACAATTACGGTTACTAGTAAGGTATAACCGATTATATGTATAACAAGTCGTACGAGTCAACCGATGAATAGTTTTCAAACATAAAATAACTTACTTGAATAAATTAAAACCGAAAGCCATTTACTAGAACGAACATCGAGACTACTTGCGATAATTAGTTCTTATTACATTTGTAAAAAAAAATAGTAATAGGCTTATGTGAAGATCCAATTTTGTTCAGTCGTTGACAGTTTTTTTGTTCAGTAACATACTGGCTTGGTTTTGCTACTAACATACATGGGATGGGAATTAATAAACGGCAAGGGTTTCATATCACAGTGTGTGCCAGTGTTAGTCGTATCAGGGAGCAGTAATTAAAGTCCCTTGGTCGTATGCACACGGCACGGTTGTTATCTCCATGGCAACCATGTATAGGCTTACGGGGCTCTTTAGTCTGGTAAACGCACTGTAAATTGAGACATTCTATGTTAATTGCAGAATGTACAGATAAGCTATAATACCCGATCGGTCTCATCTTCAATTGATTGATTAATATACCAATTCGCTTCCATTGCGTCATATGCGCCCTCCAGTAATCCATAATTGAAAACAAAATGATTAGAAAATAATCTCCTTGCCCACCTTTTCAGCCGAATATTACTCTCAAAGTAATGTATAACATGATGCAAAATGTAAATGTCTAGTCGGCTACTAAATACAACGAACACGATCCAATCCTGAGTCGGCTACTGCCGCTACACTGTAATTGTCCGAAGTGTGCCCCGGTACACGATCGCGGCAGTCGGCCACGAGTCGTAACGATTCAACCATATTCAGTGCGACAATATTTCTTCACGGAATTATTCTCTAATATTTTAGAGAATTTTGTAATATATATTTATTAAATGTGTCGGAAGTATGAGACAAAGTCCATTGACTGATTAGTATTTGTTATACGCTCGTCTTCTAAATGAAGAATTACCATAACACAGGCACAAAGGAGATGATCAAGCGTCTTTTATTCGGCGCACATCAAGAATAATGACGTCAGCGAATGTAATTAGACGTACTTCCTGCTTGACACACCGCGCATGCGTGCCGTTACATTAAGATGACCGATTATGATAAATATATGCAAGACGGTAATCAGTTATTGAAATCAGCTGCTTTTATTCAACAGAGAAATACGCACATATGGTAGAGTAATCGGTGGTTAAACTAAGCAGCAGGTAAGAAGTCAAAATGCCATTTCACATCTGTCTACACCTGTATTTAATAACCGCATCTCGGTTTCTAATGTATAATTTGTTCTTCTTCATGTGAAATTAACTCTTTATTTTATACCCATGCGTTATAGCGACGAAGATATTGTTCTATACGGGGTCATCATGGAAGATACTACGAGGATAGCCATAGTTGTCGTTGCCATAGTTATGTGCGTTCTTGTCGCAGAAGGACATTCTACGGGAACTGGGAGGATGGATGCAAACAACAAATTTCACGATCCCAGTGTCGTCAGGGATAAAGAGTAAGTGTATCTGTCGTCTGCTTCTGTTATTTGACCCGCCATTACCCTGTGATCAGAGCACTGGATTCGGTTTATTTTCATCATTTTCAATTTGGATCATAACCACACATATTAGTGATTGTCAGCTAATGAAGTATATAATATATCACACAATTATTTTTTAAAACAAATTTATAATACCAGTAAGTCAGAATCCTATTTAATATATTTTCATTTGAAAAGTACACACACACAGAATACAACGAGAATAAAAATTATGTATTCTAAAATCTGGAAAATATTCAATTTCTTACCTGGACTAAAATACGTCTTTAATAGGCCATTTTCTTTTCACTGCGAGATCTCGTGTTATGCGTGAAAACAAAGGTCATATCGTCGAAATGGCGTCAAAACATCGCGTGGGATTTGACACACGTAGAACTATAACGATCAATTTTGACGAAGTAAAGAGATCTCAACGCCTTATTCCTCTTTGAAAGATAGGAATTTTGACATTGAACTAGACTGTATAAAAAAAAAATTCCAGTTCGAAATTCAAATCAACGATTTGTGCGGCAGACGTTCGAATCACGTCTTTCACGCATTAGGCGAGATCTCCCAGTGAACGCAGGTTTACCCCTAAAAACAAAAACAAAAAAAATTTTTTGGGGATATTACACGCAGACGTTATGGGTATCTCCGATGCATCCTTATACCTTACATGTATTGTCATTAACATGGCTCAAAGCAGTGAGAATCGCACGTAATGTCGGCTTGTACTTGTACACTTACGCTTGATTGCTTCTTAGCATTACCATTGGCAATACCGTACTACAAACGTTTAAAACTACACAGTTTTAAAGCTACATCATGTTTATTCGCCATGAATGTTTGCAATTTTGCTAAAGCCGCAAACCAATGTCCCTCGATCAATTCAGTAAATCGTGATAATACACGAGTACTAGGGTGTTCTACTTTTACAATAACGCGCCCAATTTATTCGTACTCACACAGGCAAATCTGCGTTCAATTTAAATCCAGTCGTGCCTACCTTCAAATTCACTAGACGCTCATTATTCATTTAATATCAATACTACTGACAAGCCATCTATTTAAAAAAAAACACAAAAGAATTGTGCATCCTCGTACAATTCTTTTCATTTTTTTTTCATCGTAACATTGCGATCTCTCAGTATCAGTCTGGTTTTTGGTTCACTCATTGAAGTGTGTGTATATATACCCACATGTTAAAAGCATTCTGACAATATATGTGTTTCAACTGCCTAATTTCAGTTTAAAATAGATATTATTTACTGTGAAACGCGAAAGTTGATTGCTTTTTCGTGGAAACTATTACATGATCAGCTCTATGTTAGATTATAATATTATGTTGGATTATAATATTATGAAGAAATTAATTCTGAAAAAAGGTATCAAATGATGTGTCCTTTATTTACGAATTTTACAGGATCGAGTCGGCTCATTCCGTTGGGCTCCGATGTTGTCGTGTAAACGTGGTATATGCCAATCTAAAACCAACAAAAAATAGTACTACGCCACGCATGTAACCCACAGAAATTTATTTTCAGAATAATTCACCATTACATTTTTTAATTTAGTAATCTCGATTACACT